CACTGGCCATGTATCAGCACCGTTGAGGGAGGAAGGATAACCAAGAATCTCAGTAAAGGTTAAATTATGATCAATAGGTTCTGTGTTGTGGCCTGTGGGGGATTCTTGTCTCTAGGTGGGGTGGGGTGGGGTTTTGGGTGGGGTGGGGTGGGGTTTTGGGTGGGGTGGGGTTTGGGTGGGGTGGGGTGGGTGGGGTGGGGTTTTGGGTGGGTGGGTTGGGGTTTTGGGTGGGGTTGGGGTGGGGTTGGGTGGGGTTTGGGGTGGGGTGGGGTGGGGTGGGGTTTTGGGTGGGGTGGGATGATGTGGTGTATGTGTGTAATTAACCTCTGGGTATAGGGACTGCTGGTTGTGGGTATTGTAAATGCAAGGACTGTACTTAGAAGTTTGGACATTGTAATAGTTAGTGGTGGTGGTTGTGGTAGGTGAGTAAGTTGGTTGTGGTAGTGGTGGTAGGTGATTGACTTGGTTGTGGTAGTAGGTGATTGAGCTGGTTGTGGCAGCGGTGGTAGGTGATTGACTTGGTTGTGGTAGTAGGTGATTGAGCTGGTTGTGGCAGCGGTGGTAGGTGATTGACTTGGTTGTGGTAGTAGGTGAATTGACTGGTTGCTGGCAGCGGTGGTGGTGTTGACTTGGTTGTAGTGGTGGTGGTGAGTGGAATTGACCTGGTTGTGGTGAGTGGTGGTGGGTGATTGACTTGGTTGTGGTAGTGGTGGTGGGTAGTGGGTTGGTTGTGGTAGTGGTGGTGGTGATTGACGGTTGTGGTAGTGGTGGTAGGTGATTGACTTGGTTGTGGTAGTGGTGGTAGGTGATTGACTTGGTTGTGGTTGTGGTGGTAGGTAATTGAGTTGGTTGTGGTAGTGGTGGTGGGTGATTGACTTGGTTGGTAGTGGTGGTGAGTGATTGACTTGGTTGTGGTAGAGGGTGGTGAGTAATTGAGTTGTTGTGGTATTGGGTGATTGACTTGGTTGTGGTAGTGGGTGATTGGTTGTGGTAGTGGTGGTAGATGGTTGACTAGTTGTGGTAGTGGTGGTAGGTAATTGACTTGGTTGTGGTAGAATTGGTAGGTAATTACCAGGTTGGTTGTGAATTGATTGACTTGGTTGTGGTAGTGGTGATTGACGGATTTAGTAGTAGTGGGTGATTGACTTGGTTGTGGTAGTGGGTGATTGACTTGGTTGTGGTAGTGGTGGTAGATGGTTGACCTGGTTGTGGTAGTGGTGAGTAGGTAATTGACTTGGTTGTGGTAGAGGTGGTAGGTAATTGAGTTGGTTGTGGTAGTGGGTGATTGACTTGGTTGTGGTAGTGGGTGATTGACTTGGTTGTGGTAGTGGGTGATTGACTTGGTTGTGGTAGTGGTGGTAGGTCATTGAGTTGATTGTGGTAGTGGTAGTGATGATCATGGTTGTGGTAATAAATGGTAATGGTAGTGGTAATGGTGACAGTGATGATGGTACTAGGTGGTAATAATGGTTGTGATAGTGATGAGGGTAACATACTGGCATGGGAGTGGTGGGGAGAGTAAGGTTGATGAAATTATTATTTTTTCTAATCAGATTTATTTTGATTTTGTCCAAGTTGAAGCTACACTGAAACAAGTAAAAAAAAATATCCTTGCCATTACTCCCTGTAGCACTAATACCGTGAAGTAATTGAAGCAAACTATTGTATTTGCTATTAAAACAACAAAATCCTCTTCAAGGTTGGAATAGAAATGTGAAGTTCTGTAAAAATTTAAATCTGGGGTTATGGAAACTTGATCATTTGTCCACATATAGTATATACATAGACCATAATTCCTTGTGTGCACCAGTACCATCCTCTAACCAGTCCTCACCACCATTACTACCTCACCTCTCACCAGTCCCCTCCACCATTACTACCTCACCTCTCACCAGTCCCCACCACCATTACAACCTCACCTCTCACCAGTCCCCACCACCATTACAACCTCACCTCTCACCAGTCCCCACCACCATTACAACCTCACCTCTCACCAGTCCCCACCACCATTACTACCTCACCTCACCAGTCCTCACCACCATTACTACCTCACCTCTCACCAGTCCCCACCACCACACACCTCACCTCTTCACCAGTCCCCACCACCATTACAACCTCACCTCTCACCAGTCCCCACCACCATTACAACCTCACCTCTCACCAGTCCCCACCACCATTACTTCCTCACCCCACCAGTCCCCACCACCATTACTACTCACCTCCTCACCAGTCCCCACCACCATTACAACCCCCACCTCTCACCAGTCCCCACCACCATTACTACCTCACCTCTCACCAGTCCCTCCACCATTACTACCTCACCTCTCACCAGTCCCCACCACCATTACAACCTCACCTCTCACCAGTCCCCACCACCACAACCTCACCTCACCAGTCCCCACCACCATTACCACCTCACCTCCACCAGTCCCCACCACCATTACTACCTCACCTCTCACCAGTCCCCACCACCATTACTACCCACCTCTCACCAGTCCCCACCACCATTACTACCTCACCCTCACCAGTCCCCTCCACCATTACTACCTCACCTCTCACCAGTCCCCTCCACCATTACTCCACCTCACCCTCACCAGTCCCCACCACCATTACTACCTCACCTCTCACCAGTCCCCACCACCATTACACCCTCACCTCTCACCAGTCCCCACCACCATTACTACCTCACCTCACCAGTCCTCACCACCATTATTACTCCCACCTCTCACCAGTCCCTCCACCATTACTACCTCACCTCTCACCAGTCCCCACCACCATTACTCCCCACCTCTCACCAGTCCCCCACCACCATTACTACCTCACCTCTCACCAGTCCTCACCACCATTATTACCTCACCTCTCCCAGTCCTCACCACCATTATTACCTCACCTCACCAGTCCCCACCACCGTTACTACCTCACTTCTCACCAGTCCTCACCACCATTACTGCCTCACCTCTCACCAGTCCTCACCACCATTACTACCTCACCTCTCACCAGTCCTCACCACCATTACTACCTCACCTCTCGCCAGTGTTAAATCTACTCATATCTTACATTTCAAAAGTCGTTTAAGTTCACAGAAACACCTAAATATATCAAAAACATCTTCAACTCACCTAAATGTACTAGACAACCAAAGACGCCACCGTATCGATCCGCCTCACAGTTCTCTATGACTACCGAAATATTTTTTGTGCTGGTTATCATGCTTTATAACATAGTCTCTCAAAAAAACTGCCTGTACTCAGGGGGGGTCGATGAATTTCAGAATGATCAATGCGACTCCTGCTGTCTTGGTAGGGTTGCCAAAATATTTCGTCTGTTGTGTCAAATTTTCAACACAATTTTGTGTGTGTGTTTGTGTGTATGTATATGTATGTATATATATATATATATATACAGTATGTATATATATATATATATATATATATATATATATATATATATATATATATATATATATATATATATATATATATTTATTAACCACAAGGAAAAGAAAAACACGAAGTTAGTCTGTACTCACCCCTGAAGATGTGAATTGCACACAGCGCTTGAACTTCGTGTTTTTCTTCTTTCTTTGTGGTTATCCTTTGCTCTACAATGAATCACGCACCTGCAATTGATTTACTTGCATATATATATATATATATATATATATATATATATATATATATATATATATATATATATATATATATATACATATGTATATACAAGTATATATATACATATGTATACAATGCTATATATATATATATATATACAGTATATATATATATATACATATGTATATACAGTATATATATATATATATATATATATATATATATATATATATATATATATATATATATATATATATGCTGATAACCACAAGGAAACAAGAAAACACGAAGTTCCCAAGCACTTTCGTGTAATTCACATCTTCAGGGGTGAGTACAGACTAAGGAGACATACTGTACATAACAAGTGCTGAAGTCAGTGAGAACAACTCAACAGTAACAGTCACACCAAAGTTAACCTTCACACAGTGAGGTCCCAGGTACCCAGTGATAACGGCCCCTGCGAGACCCAACAACAACCACCGATGTGTTAATCCGTCTACGATAGGAAGGCCTGGGACCAAACCTCACTCATATAACACCTTCTGTGAGGGAATTACTACACCACATGTCCCTCATAACACCATATGTGAGGGAATTACTACACCACGTGAGGTCCCTCATAACACCATCTGTGAGGTAATTACTACACCACATGAAGTCCCTCATATCACCATCTGTGAGGGAATTACTACACCACGTGAGGTACCTCATAACACCATCAGCGAGGGAATTACTACACCACGCCAGGTCCCTCATAACAACATCTGAGGGAACTACTACACCACGTGAGTTCCTCCTAACACCATCTGGGAGGGAGTTACTACACTACGAGTTTGTTGTTCAACACCTACATTAATCTGTATGTTCACTGTATGTTCCTTTACCTTTCTCTAATGAAGGCTTTTGTTAAACCACCAATGTATGTAATAAGTCATTTATGTCCAATGTATATTTTCAGCCTTCGGGCTGCAGAATTTTTTCAATAAACCGTTAATTATTATTATTATTATTATTATTATTATTTTATATATATACAGTAGAGGAGAGTGGGATTAAGTCCCTAGGGGACAGTGAGTGTCCACAATGGTCTGGTCACTGGGCAGTGACCTTACTAATCTTCATAAGCACAGCAGCAGCAGTCCAGTCTCACCTGGTTACAAATCTTCTTAATTACGAAATTATCCAGTTTGTACATACCATTACTCAAATTCATGTTGACGGATTCGGTATGCTTAATGAGACTGGATTCTATAATGTTCCGACTGTCAAATGAATTACAAGGTAACATTGAGGAGGCATTACCCCAGTCAATGCAATGCTTATTATCCCAATATTTTCTTACGTCACCATGGCCCCCTACACCACTAAGAGTCGACCTGCCTCCTACAGACACGCTGTACCCGGGCGTTAACACCACCATCACTCTGGCCGAGTACCTCAACCAACCCGTCGACTGCCACTTCGACGTGAGCTTTTACCCCTTCGATGTACATATGTGTGAGCTGCCCCTGGTGCTGGTGCCTCACGGGGTACATCACGCCCGCCTCTTCCTCGGCCCCAACAGCGCCAGGTACACGGGGTTTAAAGGACTCACAGACTTTGCTGTGAACGATGCCAAGATTAGACACCAGAATGCGCAGGTGAGATATTTGTTTGATTGTTGACAATGATATACAGTAACTACCCTCAGCCAATGACAATAATTACAGTAATATCAAAAGGTGTAATACCATCAGTAATATTAAAGGACAAGTCAATCGTTGAGGCCCTGTAATTATGATAAGAGGTAATATTATGAACAGGTAATAACATCATACCATTAAAACTAACGATATAGAGTAACCGTCAGTTCACATCACCGTTAACACACTCTTGCTTCACCTGTTATTACAGATAATCACAACGTTAACTAGTGAGCGCCCATTGATGGTTATTATTATTATTAATATTAATATTATTAATTATTATTATTATTATTATTATTATTATTATTATTATTATTACATTTTCGCCTCCCAGGCCCTGATGTGGGTCAGTGACCTGTGCCTAAAAAAAAAGCTTATGGTCCCGTCCAGACAACAGCTCTCATCTTTTCCCCCAATCAATTAATTCAATCATAACCAACTTTTACCATCACTCGTAATTAACAGTGTCAGTGTAGGTCCTGTTAATACATACAACCTGTCAGTGTAGGTCCTGTTGATACATACAACCTGTCAGTGTAGGTCCTGTTGATACATAGTGTCAGTGTAGGTCCTGTTAATACATACAACCTGTCAGTGTAGGTCCTGTTAATACATACCTGACAGTGTAGGTCCTGTTAATACATACAACCTGTCAGAGTAGGTCATGTTGATACAGACAACCTGTCAGTGTATGCCTTGTCAATACATACAACCTGTCAGTGTAGGTCATGTTATTCCATACAACCCGTCAGTGTAGGCCCTGTTACACAGTGTCAGTGCAGGTCCTGTTAATACATATAACCTGTCAGTGAAGGACCTGTTAACACATACACAGTGTCAGTGTAGATCCTGTTGATATATAGTGTCAGTGTATGCCCTGTCAATACATACAACCTGTCAGTGTAGGTCCTGTTAATACATACAACCTGTCAGTGTAGGTCCTGTTGATACATACAGCCTGTCAGTGTAGGTCCTGTTAATACATACAACTTGTCAGTGTAGGTCCTGTTAATACATACAACCTGTCAGTGTAGGTCCTGTTGATACATACAGTATCAGTGTAGGTCCTGTTGATACATAGATGTCAGTGTAGGTCCTGTTGATACATAGTGTCAGTGTAGGTCCTGTTAATACATATAACCTGTCAGTGTAGGACCTGTTAATACATACAACATGTCAGTATAGGTCCTGTTAATACATACAACCTGTCAGTGTAGCTCCTGTTGATACATACAACCTGTCAGTGTAGGTCCTGTTGATACATACACAGTGTCAGTGTAGGTCCTGTTAATACATATAATCTGTCAGTGTAGGTCCTGTTGATACATACACAGTGTCAGTGTAGGTCCTGTTGATACATAGTGTCAGTGTAGGTCCTGTTAATACATATAACCTGTCAGTGTAGGTACTGTTAATACATACCTGTCAGCATAGGTCCTGTTAATACATACTACCTGTCAGTGTAGGTCCTGTTAATACATATAACCTGTCAGTGTAGGTCCTGTTGATACATATAACCTGTCAGTGTAGGTCCTGTTGATACATACACTGTCAGTGTAGGTCCTGTTGATACATACAACCTGTCAGTATAGGTCCTGTTAATACACACAACCTGTCAATGTAGGTCCTGTTAATACATTCAACCTGTCAGTGTAGGTCCTGTTAATACATACAACCTGTCAGTGTAGGTATTTTTTAATACATACAACTGTCAGTGTAGGTCCTGTTGATACATACACCATGTCAGTGTAGGTTCTGTTGATACATACACCATGTCAGTGTAGGTTCTGTTGATACATACAGTACACCGTGTCAGTGTAAGTCCTGTTGATACATACACCATGTCAGTGTAGGTTCTGTTGATACATACACCATGTCAGTGTAGGTTCTGTTGATACATACAGTACACCGTGTCAGTGTAAGTCCTGTTGATACATACACTGTGTCAGTGTGGGTTCTGTTGATACATACACCGTGTCATAGTGGGTTCTGTTGATACATACACAGTGTCAGTGTAGATCCTGTTGATACATAGTGTCAGTGTATGCCCTGTCAATACATACAACCTGTCAGTGTAGGTCCTGTTAATACATTCAACCTGTCAGTGTAGGTCCTTTTTAATACATACACCGTGTCAGTGTAGGTTCTGTTGATACATACACCATGTCAGTGTAGGTTCTGTTGATACATACAGTACACTGTGTCAGTGTAAGTCCTGTTGATACATACACCATGTCAGTGTAGGTTCTGTTGATACATACAGTACACTGTGTCAGTGTAAGTCCTGTTGATACATACACTGTGTCAGTGTGGGTTCTGTTGATACATACACCTTATCAGTGTAGGTCCCGTTCTGTTGATACATCAGTCACGGTTACAGGCACACCTTACCACCATCTATACATTCTGAACATTTATAAACCTCCTGCACACACTCAGCATTCTTGGTTAATTCGCCGCAGCCCAAAGGCATCGATGCCACGGCTTTCCTGCCGTTATAAAGATAAACTATTATTATAGGGGTGTGAGCCTAGAAGACAACTTTACTTCATATACTACTGACAGTTGTCTCTGTCTCCCTAGTTGGGAGGTCGGGTGCACAGCGGAGTGGTGCTGCAGTTACGATTGTCTCGTCAACCAGCCTTCACGGTGCTGGCCGTGTTCCTGCCCTCCTTCCTCCTGCTGGGGGTCAGCACAGGCTCCCTCTGGATGTCTCCCAAGACACCGGCTCGCCTCATCATCAGCTGCTCTGTGGTCGGCGCTTTCTTTATGATGTGGGTAATAACCGCCATCACCAGCCCTACCTCGGGCAAGGTCAAGGCCGTGGACGCGTGGTTGTGTTTCTGCACGATGCACGCCCTCCTGCACGCCACGCTGCACGTGCTACTGGAAGTGTTCAGCCAGGAGGGCGGCGTTCAACAGCTGTTCTCCAGGGTGATTTCGCGGCCTGTGTCCAGGATGCGGGAGGTGAAGCCCATCGACAATGGTAGTATTTACGACAACCTGATGCTGAGGATACCGGAGAATGAAGCCAACACCTGGACTGTGGGCTACTGGATCACCCTTATCGCCCGCGTCGTCTCTCCGGCCCTCGTCTTAGTCTTCAACGTCTCTTATTGGCCTTTCGTCTTGTACTTCAACGTTAACAATCTTCCCTAGCAAGCTATAAGCCTCTCCTGTCTTCTACTTGAACATTAACCTTATACATTATATTCACAAGTACTACTCCTGTACCCAATATTTCAAAGTGAAGTTTCTAACACCCTCAGATAAGCTCCTAGTCTGTCCATAGTCTTGTACTTCACCATAAACATCCTGATAATCGTTCACGTCTTCACCTCACACTTGTAACTAATAGAACTATCACATCACATTGTATGTCTTGTTTCACCTTCATCCCTCGTCACAGTACCATACGAGCCTTGTATCTGTAAACAATACGCCATAATACACAACGATGCCAAGCTCGCTTGTGGTGCACAGTGGAACTGACATTCTAAAACAATGAATTATGTAAAGGTTTACCGATACTTGATTGTCATATGAAAGATTAATTTGCGTTAAAGACAACGACGACGACAACCAAGACGCTCTTATTCACTTCGTCAAGCGAGGTAAAGACCTGCACCTCACGTACTGTACAATACCTGTGTAAATGTTGTGTTTATGTAACTTACGTGTCCTGCTGTGCAGGTTATGTGTCAAACAACAATGGGGATCATTATTAGCATGAAATTTTTATACAAATGTATTTTACACAAAAGTATATTTTTATAAGTGTTAATGAGATGGTTATTGACAAACAGTAACTCCAAGATGTGACATCACAAGGAGGACCAAATATAATAAACGCACAATAACCTTACCTGCTAGTGACGTCACACCACCAGCACTGTGAAGATTGTCAACCTATTACGAAAAATATAGGAAACTATCCTTGTAAAGTCAATACCTCAACGGCTTTACAGTATTCTGATCGTGTATCACATAATATCGCCTCAAGGGTGAGGAGTTTGATGCAACGACGTTCATGAACCCTCAAAACGTTGTGTTGCCTAAAATGTACAAATCTCTATATAGTATATTATATGCCTGTTCGTTTATATATGTTAGTCGTAGTCTGTGCTCACCTCCACACTGTACCTCCACTCCAACACGGAGAGGAAAATCTCTGAATAGAATGTAATACATCGAGGTTGTAAAACATATTTACAGGGTCGTCGCCTCCAAGCTGGGCAGGGCTGGTCCCACCACCACCAGCTGGAGGCGATCTGTGCTGGATTATGTAACCACGAGAGAACGTTCTATTATGAGAATCTAAATTTGGTTCTAAAACGGTGCTATTTTGAGGTTAGGTATTCGATATAGCACCTAATATGGAACCTCCAAATAGACCGACCTGCTACAACAGCCAGCACAGCACTCCATGTAATACGTACTATGTTGCGTCTATTAAACCCAAACCCACAATTAAGTGTTTGATATTGTACCTTAATAATACCCCCCGAAGGTCTGTGCTCTCTATAGCAGCAATGGGAAGACCTTAACCAGGATGTTGTGCTAAGGTTCCCTACTTGTGGAGGTCTTACACACACAATGTGACTGGGTGAGGAGATAGCCAGGGAGTGGAATTGGATATAATGGGGATGCAATGTGGATACAGAGCAGTTCACGTTTACACCATTACACAAGGTGACTGCGTGGCCAACATTGCACTTTACCGTCTTTCAATTTCCCAACTGTAAAGTTTAATTTTCTGCAGCTGGGGCCGCCGTGGCCGGGATACAGCACCATTTCCCATGGAGTTATAGGAATACTGCACGTAAGAAATTATACTTTAATACACATTTAAAGGAAGAAACCAGTTACAACTACATTGGCACAACCATAAATAATCTAGGGGTTCCTGTGACGCTGTATATGTAGAAAATTAATTTATTTAGGCCGAGTCTCTAATTCGAGTTTTTTTATTTTGGCTATGCTAGATTACATAGAGGCAGGGAACAAAAACCATGATTACAAGTAGAGTATCGATAAAGAACAAAACTCAGGGACGCCCTAGTGTTAGCGTTCCTTGGGTATAGAATCGGGTTCCGTCGACAACTCCTTAACCATTCTCTTTAAGGTATCTCAAGACACCAAGACAGGCAGTGGAATCCTCATATGCTACAACCAACTCCAAGGGGTCTTGACTGGACATTAACGTCTGGAAATACTGTTATCGAACTCCCCTGAAATATTGTCATATGATTTTAAATGATCTAAATTCTATCCTTTCAATATGATGGAGTCATCCAATTCACTATTGTATTCCTGAGCGTACGAGTATGTTCTACCTATCCAGTCACTCATAAAAGTTCGTGGGAGTCCGCGTGTGTGCGCGTCAGTCTAGTCCCCACCTCTTTCTGGACGGCGAGTCTGTGTATAGCGATGTGACAACGCGCGCACACACGGCAGAACTTGTCTTTTATGTAATCAGGTCAGAATGGATTATGTTTGTCAATCAATTATTATCGTTAGTCATAATCAGGTTAAATATTCAGTGTTGTATGATAAGATGTGAAGGTTAGAGCCCATTCGATTTCTAAGCATTAATTAAACAGCAGAGACGACGGTAGTGCAGGTCGAGGTGCATTCCAGTCCGTTCGAAAATTTGCTTCGTATCCACATGAATAATATTGTAAACGTTAGGAGTTCAACTGAGACAGTATCTACCATTAACGTAGTATAACATATCTTCTTCATATATTCCTCTATATATAGCCAATGCAAACCCATTCTGAATAATAGGTAATAAAACATTAGAAGTAGACGAAGACTCGAAACAATGAGCAGTGAAGCGGTTGGCTAACGTCGTAATGGAACTGTCCCAAGTCTGAGGCAACAGTCTACTGGAGCACACACACACACCAAGCCATTTATAGAGTAATCGGTCGAATTAAAAGAACGGAACTGTGAAAGTTTCGTATGTTTAACATATCATTACCATCTTTATTAATATAAGGATTTTACCTCAATTAGTATAGCAGAGCGGCAGCTAAACACTTGACCCCTCTCGTCTCAAGTCTCCACCTGGCAAAACGTCCTCTTTACCTACCCCCCCCACTCCCCCTCGATCGTATTGCTTCGTCTTCACATAACGAAGCGTCTCATGGTTCAGGTAACAGAGGACTGTGGTCATATTGTCCATGCCAATTTTAACCCTCATATGCTGTCACACAAATGCAAATGTGTAAACATTATATGACATAACACAATATTTGCATGGATAAATATTCCTGTCAAACAGGTCTTAATTGAACACACAGAGTTCCAACAGTTTCACCGTGTATGTTCGGTGTGCGTTGTCCGGTGCCCAGAGACCTGTCGTCCGAAAGGGATGAGGATGGGATTCACCCACACACACGGAGACCCCCCCCACGAGCTTTTATGAGTGACTGTACAGTCACCCAAAAAAGTCCTGTCGCGAACCACGATTCAGACTCAGAACCCGAAGCAGTAGACACTGATACATTATTCTGTCCATAAATGCTTCGGATTCAAGAGTCTGAATCTCAGGGTTCATGGTTCGCGACAGGACTTTTTTGGGTGACTGTACATTCTCTATAGCAGCCCCCTCGTGGGTGGCCGTGACGATACATGGATCTAAAACGAGGGGGTATCGCTTCCTAGACTAAATTTACGAGTGAAGTGGAGTTATGTCTCGGTGAATATTAATTAGTAATGGATTTATGTATGAGATCACTTCTTTCAGTACATATCTTGTGATGAAACTCATTACATATTTTTAGTAGAAGTCTACGAATAAGCCATTTTCTACTTCCCATTTTCTCCTTGTAAACTTGTTCACTGACCACGGAGAGCGTTTCTAGTAAACGTTAAACATCAACAGTATCCATATCCTGAGTAATAGAATAAATCTATTACAATTTAGGTTCTTGATTATTAAGCAATGACATTTTATAGTTATATTAAGACTGTAGATGACCATGAAACCAAGATAGATTATGTTAGATAAAGAGCAATATCATAAGCTCAAACAATAATAACTTAACTCCAACAACTGATGCAAGAAGGATAAAGAACTTCCAAAGAAACATGGCTGAAACAACACCCACAGCGGTTTAGACTGATAATGTGGCAGCTGGGGTTAACGTAACACTAAATATTCCAGGTGAGTTGAGAGAACATTTAAAAATAAAACAAATACAAAGACAACTTCTGCACGGAGTATAAAATCTGGAGATGACGGGAGGAGAAAGAGACAAACAGTTCGACAGATGTTGATAAATGTGGTTGATATCGTAAACTAATTGCACATCACAAATGTGGAAAGACTTAATAAATGCACAGTGCAGTTAGTGAGGATCACCATCCCTAAACACGAGCACAGGAGAAATATCTTGAAGAAGGCACAGAACCTCAAGCAATTAACAGAGTACAGCAACGCCTACAGCACCCCCGACCTGACAGTTCGCCAACGAAAAAACGACAAAGAGTTCAGAGAAACTGAAAGAGAAACACGCCGACCTACGAAATGGGAATGCTTAACTAAAGATCAGAAGAGGCCAAGTAATCAGGGTACAGGAAAATGGGCAGGCTGGTGCCCCAGGTTAACTATGGTGGGGGAGGCTGGGGCCCCAGGTTCACTATGGTGGGGGAGGCTGGGGCCCCAGGTTCACTATGGCGGGGGAGGCTGGGGCCCCAGATTCACTATGGCGGGGGAGGCTCGGGCCCCAGGTTCACTATGGTGGGGGAGGCTCGCGCCCCAGGTTCACTATGGTGGGGGAGGCTCGCGCCCCAGGTTCACTATGGTGGGGGAGGCTCGCGCCCCAGGTTCACTATGGTGGGGGAGGCTCAGGTTCACTATGGTGGGGAGGCTGGGGCCCCAGGTTCACTATGGTGGGGAGGCTGGGGCCCCAGGTTCACTATGGCGGGGAGGCTGGGGCCCCAGATTCACCTGGGGGAGGGGCCCCAGGTTCACTATGGGGAGGCTAGCCCCAGGTTCACTATGGTGGGGAGGCTGGGGCCCCAGGTTCACTATGGCGGGGGAGGCTGGGGCCCCAGATTCACTATGGCGGGGAGGCTCGGGCCCCAGGTTCACTATGGTGGGGGAGGGGCCCCAGGTTCACTATGGTGGGGGAGGCTAGTTCACTATGGTGGGGAGGCCTCGCGCCCCAGGTTCACTATGGTGGGGAGGCTGGGGCCCCAGGTTCACTATGGTGGGGGAGGCTGGGGCCCCAGGTTCACTATGGTGGGGGAGGCTGGGGCCCCAGGTTCACTATGGTGGGGGAGGCTGGGGCCCCAGGTTCACTATGATGGGGAAGGCTGGGGCTCCAGGTTCACTATGGTGGGGGAGGCTGGGGCCCCAGGTTCACTATGGTGGGGGAGGCTGGGGCCCCAGGTTCACTATGGTGGGGAGGCTGGGGCCCCAGGTTCACTATGGTGGGGGAGGCTGGGGCCCCAGGTTCACTATGGTGGGGGAGGCTGGGGCCCCAGGTTCACTATGGTGGGGGAGGCTGGGGCCCCAGGTTCACTATGGTGGGGGAGGCTGGGGCCCCAGGTTCACTATGGTGGAGGAGGCTGGGGCCCCAGGTTCACTATGGTGGGGGAGGCTGGGGCCCCAGGTTCACTATGATGGGGGAGGCTGGGGCTCCAGGTTCACTATGGTGGGGGAGGCTGGGGCCCCAGGTTCACTATGATGGGGGAGGCTGGGGCCCCAGGTTCACTATGGTGGGGGAGGCTGGGGCCCCAGGTTCACTATGGTGGGGGAGGCTGGGGCCCAAGGTTCACTATGGTGGGGGAGGCTGGGGCCCCAGGTTCACTATGGTGGGGGAGGCTGGTGCCCCAGGTTCACTATGGTGGAGGAGGCTGGGGCCCCAGGTTCACTATGGTGGGGGAGGTAAACATATGAGTGGTCAGGTAGTTGCTTTCATTGTGCCAGAGGCAGACATAAGAGCGTCTTAATATACAGTATAGTGTTTTACGAAGGAGAGAGACGAAGGTTACTCACATATTGAAGCCCGTCATAATAGGACACCATACTGATACTCTAGCCCGTCCACCTATCACCCCTAGATTACGTGAGAGTTGCATAAAGGAAAATGCATATATTGCTCAGACCTGTAGCACAAGCTGGGTAATACCACCGGAATGTGCTGTATCACATTACAGTCATACTTCGTGTTTTACCCTACGTCTTTATATCCTTGTTTAATAAATTATGTGTTGCATCTGTGTAAGTAACTCCTTAAACCTACCCATCCCTCCAGCCCCCGAATACCTGAGGACCTTCCTCAGCCTCCATAACCCGCCACCCCTACCCCCTCTAATGCAGCCCTGGTTACCTGTCAGGTGGCCGCTGCATGATGCCTCAAGAAGGAATCCCGGCGGGAGTTCAGGTGATTTTTTTTAGATTTGCCCCGAGAGGGGGCTAGTTTATTGGGCACCCCCTTACATCAAGTGCAAGG